CTTCATTAAAGCTGTAGGAGCTCCAGCCTTCCTAGCCACATCCTAGGCAAGAAGCAGGGGAAGGGATCGGGGAAGGGCAAAAAGGATGTCTGCCATCTATCCACGTGTCTTCCTTGTGAACTTTACCAGAAACTCCTGTTCAGCCATGTGACCACACTTTACCTAACAGTAAGAGAGGTTAAGAAATAATCCTGTAGCTGAGAATGTAGCCTCCCAAAGATGGACCATCACAATGTGCTGATAGAACACAGGCTCTGGAATCAGTCTTGTGTTCAAGTCCCAATTCTGCTACTCACTAGCTGTGAGATCATAAGCCAGATATTTCGCTTCTCTGAGCCTCAGTCAGTTCATCTGTAACATTGAGCTGTTAATTTAAAAGTAGTTGTGAAGATGAAACAAGCCAACATATATAAAATGCTCAATACAAAGGAGGTACTCGGTACATGGCACTGGAATCTGAGCTTCTCTCTCTCAGGATTGGCCATATCCCCACCCTGCAGGTTCCCCCAGAGGTAGCACCTTTCCAGTCACCTGAGACGCCCCCACTGCTCTGTTCTGACACCCTGGGTGGCGCCACCATCATCTACCAGCAAGGTGAGCTCTGAGGAAGGGTGGGAGCCTGGGTACTGGGCATGGGCAGGGCTCATGCTAGAAAATGGGGGGAGGGTGTGGGTGCCAGTTTTCCAGCCTTTTGTAAGTCTCAGGTCCCACCAACCCAGGAGCTGAGGAGTCAACTGCCATGGCCACACAGACAGCTTTGGATCTGCTGCTAAACATGAGTGCTCAGCGGGAGCTGGGGGGTGCCGCCCTGCAGGTGAGCCACCTGGGGACCTCCTCTTCACTAGACATTGGGAGGAGAGGAGAGTGATGAAGTAGACATGCCGCACCCGCAGGGAGCTCCCAGTTAGTGGGTGACACCCAGCGGGCACATGCACAGGAGGAGCAGCAGCTGTGCCAAGGAGGCTTCAGGAGCGCAGGAAGGTCAGAGGATCTCCCACGCCATTCTCCAGAGTCACGAGCAACCTCTGCAATGCTGAGCCGTGTTCACTGCTTCCATGCCTTCTGGGGTCCTGTTCTCCTAGCTCTGTGGCCACCCTGTTGTGCCTGTGGGTCTGAACTAGCCTCCCTCCTAACCTAGTGCCCTCATTCATGACACCTCCTACAGCCTGAGGACTCCGGGGCCGTCTCCATCTCAGACCTCTGTCTTGTCCATGCACCTCAAGCCCACACTCTGCCGAGTTCATCATCTCCTCCCTCTTTCATCCGGCGGCTCAGGATCCCCTTTCCCCCATCTCCTCTCCCTCTGCACCGCCTCGCACTTCTACAGGCAGGGAGGAGTTTGTGTGCCTCCGTCTCCCAGCCTCTTGAAAAGATGTAGAGTATGTATTTGAGATGATAAATTTCAATAACTTGGAGCAATAACATGCTGCTAGGGGCTGGAAGACAGACAAAACTCCATGGAGGAGGGAGCCTGTGTGGGATTTAGCTTGAGGCATTTGGGGGTGTAGAGAAGTTTTACATTTTTATATAGTTAAGTGTATCAGTCTTTAATCGTTTTTACCTTTAGTATTCATCCCTAGGAAGGCCTCCTTCACCCCAAGACTATATAAAATTCATTTGGACTTTCTTCTTAGGGTTTCATTTTTTCACTTAAATTTTCACTCCATTTCATTTTTGGTGTATGCAGAAAGGTCGGGAACTAACTTAATATTTTTTCCAAAAGTTGTCCAGTGCAGTATATCAAATAATTTTCCCCAGTGGTTGGAAATGTCCCCTTTATCATTCTCTAGATTCCCACACACACTCACCTGTCTGCTCTTCTCGTGCCAGTATAATGCATTTTTTAAATTACAAAACTATATGCTTGTACAAAAACAAAATGAACATTATGTTCTACAATAAGGTGAAAGTTCTTAACATTCCTCCTTTCCCACTGTTAGCAGGTTAATAAGCATTTCTCCAGTTTTGTCCATGTGCACAACAACAGACTTTTTGTTCCTTAAAAAATGGGATCACACTAGTCATCTCATCAACAACCTGTTTTCTTCACTCAGCACTGTGGGGGGCTCAGCCTGACAGGCACATACAGGTCTCCATCTCCACATCACGTCTCCACATCCTCCCATCAGACAGGTGTCCGAACATTTACCTCGTCATTCCTTTATTGGTTGGGTTGTTTACAGTTTTTCATTAACTCAAGGCAGTGCTTTAGTGCACATACATTTTCAGGTGCTCATAACCTTTTATTAAAAAAAAAATAACAAAAAAACTCCTAAAAGTAGAATTGGTGGGTCTGAAGGTATAAAGCCTCACAAAAAGATATGCCAATTTATATGACCACCCCTAGAGCATGTTTCTCTCCGCTCCTGCCAGCACTGGGCATCAACAGGCTTTATAAATTTCTTTAATGTAATAGAAGTATACTTCATGGTCATAATTTATAATTTTGCGATCATAAATGAGATTGAACTTCTGTATGTTCATAGACCATTTTATTTCTTCTCTGACTTGTGGGTGTCCTATATCAATTTTTAAATTAAATTGTTAGTCTTTTTTATTATCCCTTTGCAAGAGCTCTGTATATAAAGGAAGTTCACCTTTTAGCTCTCATATGAATTGTTAAATCCCAATCACACACCAATTTCTTTGTTTCCTGATTTCATTTTATGATTTGTTTTGTTGTAGCTTGTAGCATATTTCTGTCATAATTAGAAAAATCTCCCTACCCCAGGATTATAAAATTATCCACATTTTTTCTTCACATATTTAGAGTTTTATTATTATATTTAGTCTTTAATCCATTTGAAGCAGACTTTGGAGTGAGATCTAAGATCGCACTCTGACTTTATTTTTTTTTCTTAAAGTGGTTTGCCACTTGTCCCTCTACCCCAAGATTTCTCAACCTTGGCACTTTGGGCCAGATGATTCTTTGTTGTGGGGCCATCCGGTGCATCCTGGCATGTTTAGCAGCATCCCTGCCCTCTACCTGCTGGATTCCTGTTGCACCCCGCCTGCCCCCAATTGTGACAACCAAAGAATGTCTCCAGACATTGCCCAATGCCCCTGGGGGGCAGTATTGCTCTACCCTGTTCTTAAGTGTAATTCCAGTAGCTGGGTGGGATCTGGAAAGTCAGGCTGTGTTTCAGTAGGAACACAAAGTTGGGGTTGTGCAAATGAGTGCTAGCAGCACTGGGTCTGCCCAGAGCCTGGGTGAGCTTTGAGATAGAAAAGAGCCTTGAACACTAGCTTCTTTGGCACAGACCTGCTCAGAATGCATTGTGCCGTTGCAGGTGGCCGTGGTGAAGTCAGAGGATGCGGAAGCACGGTTAGCATCCCCTGGTGGGCAGCCCTCCTCAGCAAGTGCAGCTCCACAAGTGGTAACCCTCCACGTCGCAGAGCCGGGGGGCGGTGTAGCTGCTGAGAGCCAGCTAGGTCCCTCTGACCTACAGCAGATCACCCTGGCACCCAGTCCATTCGGTGGGGCTGGGTACAGTGTCATCACAGCACCCCCTATGGAAGAGGGGACATCAGCTCCTGGCACACCCTACAGGTAAGGCCTGCCACCTGCAAGGTCCCCTTCAGCCAGTTGTAGTCATGCTACAGGGAGTCAAGGGGTCCCTGCCCATTCACGCCTAGGCAGGAGGTAAAAATCCTAATCTGTATATATAAAAAGCCAGCGATCAGAATGCTGTAACTACCAGAACAACCAGTTGCTATGACCACCGGTCACTATGATGCCTACTGTGGCCAGTGTACCAGCCTGATCATGGGTGGGCTGGCAGCCAACCTCCCGCAGCCCCTCCCCCTGGCCAGCCCCACCCCCGATGAGGCCCCCACTCTGATCAGGGACAGGGACAGCCAGCCAACCGCCTGCGGCCCCTTTCTCCAGCTGGCCCCACCCCTGATGGCCCCCTCCCCCACCACCACCAATCGGGGTTGGGGCCGGCCAACCAACCAACCACGCCCCCCCACTCCCCCCAGCTGCTGGCCCTTGATCAGCCCCCACCACCCCTATCAGCCTGTGGCCCCTCCCCCAGGCTAGCCCCGCCCTGATCAGCCCCCCACACCAATTGGGGGTGAGGCCAGCCAGCCCGTAGCCCCTTTCCATGGCCAGCCCCAATCAGGGGTGGGGCCCATTGGCCAATTGCCCATGGCCCCTCCCCCCTGGCCAGCCCAGCCTTGATTGGGCACTGATCAGGGTGGGTGGGCCAGCCGGCCAACCTCCCACTATCGCCTGGCCAGATCCTCCCCAATCCGCCCCAATCGTTGGCCGGACCCCACCAATGCACAAATTCGTGCACTGGGCCTCTAGTGCATACATAAAGTGATTGGACCATAGGGGAGTCATATCTTTCTCAGGATGTCAGAAGTGATCTTTTGACTGCTTAGATGTTCCAGGCACTTGAAATTTGTGAACTCACCTATACACCATTCCTGTGAGATCCACATTTCCCTCATTTTACAATGAGGAAACAGGCTAAGGAGGTTTAACTCTCCTAAGGTCAGCCACATAGGTGAGGATTTTAGCCCTGCTCCCTTTGGTTCCAAAGTCCTTGTGCTCTTTGTTCTGAACGATTCCTGAAGGTATTTTCCAGTTCTGACCTTTGGAATGAACTCAGGCCCCTTGCTGGCATTGGAGGCCTGGCATCTGCTCTTGGCTTCCTCCACATTGAGCGAATTGGGGGCAGAAATATTTATATCTCATATGTTGACCAAACCCCTGGGCAATCTGAGGAAGCCCTGGATCCAAGCACCAAACTGTGTAGTTGGGATGGGAGTCTGGATGGCTAGGCCTGCACCTGGGCAGTTGTCTCAGCATTTGCCCTCTACTCTTGGGCTGTGGGTCCCTGTCAGCCCCGCCTCTCCAACTGGACCAGATTTAGGCTGGAACCCTCAGGCCATCCACCCTCCACTCCCCACCATGCCCATCAAGGGGCAGGACTACCAGTGGTGAGCAAGACAGTACTCCGCACACGGCATGAATGACAGAAGAGACAGTAGAGGTTCGGCTGGCAAAGGGCGGAGCCAGGATTTAATCCAGAGGTCCATCTATGGTGCAATCACCCCTCGGTTGATGACTTTGTTGGGGCCCTCTATCCCCTCCTAGTATCCTGACTCACCGCTCCCCTCCTCTCTGCCCACAGTGAGGAGCCCCCAGGGGAGGCAGCCCAGGCTGTGGTTGTGAGTGACACCCTGAAAGAAGCTGGCACCCACTACATCATGGCAGCCGATGGGACCCAACTGCATCACATCGAGGTGAGGCTGGGTAGCTCACCACGTCCCATTTCCTTTCCCATCTCTCCCTCTCTCAGTGCCTCATGCTCCCGTCTCCACAGCTGACTGCAGATGGCTCCATCTCCTTCCCAAGTTCTGATGCTCTGGCCTCTGGAGCCAAGTGGCCTCTGCTGCAGTGTGGGGGGCCACCCAGAGACGGCCCTGAGTCCTCATCTCCAGCCAGAGCCCACCCGGTGGAAGACCCCCAGGGCTCTGCCTCCCCACCTCCTACAACTAGTAAAGCCCTGGGCCTGGTAGTGCCCCCGTCCCCACCATCTGCAGCATCAAAGAAGTTTTCCTGCAAGATCTGTGCCGAGGCCTTCTATGGCCGAGCTGAGATGGAGAGTCACAAACGGGCCCATGCTGGGCCGAGTGCCTTCAAGTGCCCAGACTGCCCTTTCAGCGCCCGCCAATGGCCTGAGGTCCGGGTAGGTGCTGCTCCCTGTGTCTCTGTTGTCACAAACCTTGACTGAGCACCCCCTCGAGCCAGCCCTCTCTAGTCAGAGATAACTCGGCAGGTTTCTCAGGCTGCTCAGTCTAGGGGGAGACCAGACCTGACTGATGCCTGACAGTATCCCCAGAGTGAACGATGCACGTGTCCTGGGGACTTGGGATGCTAGATGTCATGGAGGAGGTGTGCCTGCATGCGTCATGCTTAGGGAAATTCGAGTCATTTAGAATACGGAGGGTTGAGTTCAAGGGATGTTCTGGGGCAGGTTCATGATCCAGTTTGGGGGCCTCCCTCCCAAAAATCCCTTCACCCAAGGATTTCGTTTTCAGATCCAACCATACACTGAATCCTCACACTACCTCAGTGAGGGGAGCAGAGCCCAGGGCCCTAGAATGTCAGGGCTGGGAGAGATGGTCAGAGGTCCCTTCGTCCGTACCTGTACCCTTAAGGATAAGCTGAGTCTGAGAGCAGGGACAGGATTTTCACAGTGACCTAATGACAGAGCCTCTGGCTTTCCCCAGGTACATAGCACCAAATCTCGGTCTGGTTTGTACTCTTTATCCAGTTCCTCCCAGATCCACCTCAGAGGATAGGTTCCCTGACTGCTATCGGTGGAAGCTGTCTGTCCGGACCCAGCTCATGCCCCCTACTCTGCCCCTTCCGCAGGCCCACATGGTGCAGCACTCAAGCCTGCGGCCCCACCAGTGCAGCCAGTGCAGCTTTGCCTCCAAAAACAAGAAGGACCTGCGGCGGCACATGCTGACCCACACCAACGAGAAGCCTTTTTCATGCCACCTCTGCGGGCAGCGGTGAGACTGGGTATAGATAGGCTGGGGCTGCTGGGCATGCATGGTAGGGCCACCCCTGAGCCTTCGTCCTTCCCTGCAGTTTTAACCGGAACGGGCACCTCAAGTTCCACATCCAGCGGCTACATAGTCCTGATGGGAGAAAGGCAGGGATCCCTACTGCCCGGGCCCCAGCTGGGACCCCCACCCAGACCATCATCCTGAACAGTGATGACGAGACACTGGCCACACTGCACAGTGAGCTGCCCCAGGGGACCCAGGGTAGACCAGGGACTTGAGCCACGGCCCTAGGAAGCACCCTTGGGCCATGGTGGGGCCAGGGCATTTCAGACTTCCCTGGAGCCCCTGAGTGGAACATCCTCTCCTCTCTGCCCAGCCGCCCTCCAGTCCAGTCATGGGGTCCTGGGCCCAGAGCAGCTACAGCAGGCACTGGGCCAGGAACACATCATCGTGGCCCAGGAGCAGACAGTGACCAATCAGGTGAGAGCCTGCACTGGGGGCCCTGTCTGCAGGTCAAGGGAAGGGGTGGGGCACATGGAGAGCTGAGGCTAGAGCTGGCTTGGCTGTGGCAGGAGGAAGCCACTTACATACAAGAGATCACCACAGCAGATGGCCAGACGGTACAGCATCTAGTGACCTCCGACAACCAGGTGAGCTACTGCTGAACACCTCAGCTGTGAGTGCCCCTCTGCCAGACCCCACACTGGGGAGAAGCAACACTTTCCAAACCACCCTTCCCAGGATGAGTGCTGTACCATCCTCACTAAGCTCTTGGTGAGCAGGGCCCTAGCACCTGCCTCCTCTCCACCTTTCAGGTACAGTACATCATTTCTCAGGACGGAGTTCAGCACCTGCTCCCTCAGGAATATGTTGTGGTCCCAGAGGGTCATCACATCCAGGTAGGCCAGGCCTAGGGTGAGAGTGGGATGTGAGGAGGATGGACAACCTCCTTCTAGGATCACCAGGTTGGCTTCCTCTCTCCAGGTACAGGAGGGCCAGATCACACACATCCAGTACGAACAAGGAGCTCCATTCCTTCAGGAGTCCCAGGTAGGGCCCTTGGGGAACCAGGTGAAGCTGGGGCATGGGTAGGGCTCTTCCAAGGCCACGTCTCATTGGCTTCTCCCCTCCAGATCCAGTATGTGCCTGTGTCCCCAAGCCAGCAGCTCGTCACACAGGCCCAGCTGGAGGCTGCAGCACACTCAGCTGTCACAGGTATGGTGCTGGACCCTGAAGACCATGGGGCCCGGGCCTAGCTTCTGGGGCCTCAGCTCACCATCCTTTCCCCTCCCCTGGCAGCGGTGGCTGATGCTGCCATGGCCCAAGCCCAGGGCCTATTTGGCACAGAGGAGACAGTGCCCGAACACATCCAACAGCTGCAACACCAGGGCATCGAGTACGACGTCATCACCCTGACCGATGACTAAGCCCCAGGGGCACAACACAGACCATGGATATTGGGGCTAGCCCTGTTGGGGGTGGAGGGAATTCACCAGGACTCACCTCCCTGCTCCACCTAGGATCTCCAGATACTGAGCAGCCAGCATCCTGTCACTCCAAGGGAGCCAGACCTGTGCTATGGGGGTTGGGGTGGGGCAGCTATAGGCACCAGCCAGGACATGCTGGTTGCCCCAGCCTGCAGGCAGGCTTTGGAAAAGAAATTTATTTTTGTTTGGATGGACCCACTGGCCTTACTCTCAATAAAGGGACCAGAGTCCAGCCCTAGCTGGCTCACTTTGTCCACTTGCTGCTACAGCCTGAAGCAGGCAAGAACTTGGGGAGAAGGAAAGGTGGAGCCTGTTACAGCCACAAGTGGGGACTGAGGTGGAGGCAGCCTAGCCTGCAGCGCGTCCAGCCTGGCCTCTGTAAGTACAGTGGCCCCACACAGCCCGTGAGGGCCCCCAGCTTCTCCCCCTGGGCCCCCGAGGAGCAGCCTGTGATGGCTCTGAGCTATGTTTCCTCCAGAACCTTGACTTGAGTGTAAAACACACCTGGCTGCCCACATACTGTGGTGGTTCCAAGGCCAGCAGGGGTCTAACTTTCTACCTGGGCATAGCTGCCAACCCTCAGCTCCCCACATAGATTAGCACAGGCTCAATTCTGGGAGTAGGGACTTACCAGATAGATGGTGCAGGGCTCTGGACTCCAGACCTGCTGGGCACGGGCTGAGGCCACCAGGGCCCCAGTTGTGGGGACAGCAGGGTGAGGAGTTAAGACACTGGAGCCCTGGGGTGGGGTGTTAAGGCCCAGGGGTCATGAGGTGAACCTGGATGTACAGAGGTGTGATCCCAGAAGGCTCCAGGTTCCTCAGCTTTCTCTGCCCTCAAAACCCTCACTCGTTCTTACCGGAGGGTTTCTATATTTACTTTTACAAAGGAAACAAGGTGGCACAGAAGGTGGGGAGCGGTATGGGGCCTATTTACAGGGGACTTGGAGTTTGAGGTGGGAAGTTGGGGCGGGGGGGCGGGGCAGGGAGGGGGAGCCTTGGCAGAGCCATAATCTTCCTATGTCATTGGCAGCCCAAGAGCCAAGTCCCAGTCCATACTAGCACCCTGGGGCTCCTCCTCCCCGCAAGATGTGTTAGGTGGGGTGGGACTCGCGGCTAGGGCCCTGCTCTCGGCCTGAGTCCCGGTCCTTAGCCTCCGAGGAGGATGAGGAGGAAGAGCTGGAGCCATGGCTGCGGCCTGACTGCCGGTAGGCGGTGCTCAGCTCCTGCAGCTTCTCGGCAGTTGGCCCCCACTTGGCAAAGCCAGGGTCGTTCTGCAGGAAGAGCACGGCTGTGTTGTGGACCACCTTGTAGTGCATTTCTTCCCTGTGGGCAGAGGCAGCAGCTCATGGTAGGGCTCTGCTGGCCCAGTCAACCCAGCCTTCTCCCCCTGCCCTCCCTGGAAACCCACTTCTTGCAGACGTGTTGGGACCCACTGCGGTACTCATGCTCAAAGGCGGGCAGGACCAGCTGGTGGCGTTTGAAGCGGCTCTGCTCCATGCGGGTGAGCGCAGGTGTTGGGGGTTCCCGCCACTCAGGGATGAACACGATGAAGGACAGGGGCTCCGGTGAGCTCTCAAGAAGTTTCTGTGGGAGGTGGCACGGGGTGGATGTCAGAGGCTGCCCTCCAGGTGCTGGCAATCTTGCTTGCCATCCTCCACCCCCAAACAGCATACCCACCTCGAAGTGAGAGACCATGGCATCCATGAGCTCCTCGCAGAATGGAGGGTTGGCCTCAAAGGAACCACTCAGCGGGGAGAAGTCCAGGCAGGGCCTGGGGACAGAGGTGAGCATTCTAAATCCCAGTCCCTCAGCCAGAAACAGGTGCTGCCCCCACACTTAGGCAGCCACATTGAAGAGATGGCCCTGATGAGGCCAGAGGCCAACATTCGTCCTTAATTCGTCCTGGGGCAAGATGTGGCCATATCCATTGAACATATGATAGAGGCTCAGGTTTGGTGACCCAAGTCCACCAAGCTGATTAGTGGAGGAGCTGGAGCTCAAATCCAGCTCTGACCCCACTGCCACCAGAGCACGCACCACACCCAGGAATTCCCTAGCTGCTGAGCTTTCCCTATTGCTGGCATGGCCCTGTCTTCCTGCTGGAGACATCATCTCCTATCTGTGTTCACCACCACCCCACCCCCATGCTACCCCCACCCCACCCCCATTAGTCTGTAAGGCTTCTGAGCTCTGTATCACCATTTCTCTTCCCTCCCAGTATTCCAAATGTGGGCTAACTGGCTAAGAAACCCACAGGCTTGGTTGGGGGTTGGGGGTTAATAGGCTCCCAGAGGTTCAGGGATATGTCCAAGGTCACATATCTGGTGTGGTGAAGGCAGGGACTACCCCGAGACTGCCTGACTCCAAAGCATTTAGAAAGCAGCTAACCAAGGTGGGATCTGCACTGACTGACAGTTTCCCAGGCCTGGGCAGGAGGGGCCCAGCAGTCCCTGGCTCTCACCCGCGGGAGCCAAAATAGCCATCTGTGTCGGGGAAGGCAGAGCAGTACTGGCGGAAGTAGCAGTTGAGGGGTGAGGCAAAACACTCAAAGCTGACACTGAAGAGTCGGTGGAGGGCCTCGAAGACGTGCACTGGCAGCGATCCCTGCAGGCCTGTCCCCTCGTAGAGGCCCACGCCAAACATCATCTGCAGAGTGGCCACAGTCAGCACCTGGCGCTCAGTCTCCCCGTCCAGAGGAGCCCTCCCCTGCTACCCCAGACCTATACCTGGTACCGTCGGAGAAGACACCAGACTCGGGGCAGGAACTTCTCAAAGGCAGAGTCATCAATGCAGCTATAGCGGTAAAGGAGCCACTGTGGGACAGAAAGCAGGGGGCTTCAATTGAGCGCAGGTGCCTCCCTTGTCACTGGCCTCTTGCTGAGGACTCTGGGTCAAGAGAGATCCAGCCCTCACTTCTCCCACCTGTGGAGACCCGCCTCCCCTTCCCCCAGCTCTTACCAGCTTACTGAAGTAGTTGCGGCTGACCTTGACCATCTCTCCCTTATACCGGATGCAGACCACATTATTCTCTATATGCATCTCCACATTAGGCATGGGGGGCGCAGACACAGCTAGCCGTACTGGGTAGCAGTATACCAGGCGGGGCTCCACCTCTGGGGCCTCCACCTCCTCTGTGGACGGGGAGAGCAATGAGGGGCCACCCTGGACAACCTGTGTCCAGTGTGCCAGGGGCTGCCCACCCCATCCCAGTGACCAAGGGAGGTACATCCCACCCCATGGAAGAGTAAGTGCAGCTCCGACGGTTCAGTAACGAAGGACACAGCCAGGTGATTAGTAGGGGCAAGCACTGATGGCCTGTGTCAGTGTGCTCTGTACTGTACTGACGACTCAGGCCCCCAGTGTGCCATGCCTTGGGGCCTGGCAGGCAAGCAGGCTCGGATGCCATGCAAAAGTAGAACTGCATCACCCTCATCACAGTAATTACAGTACCTCACTTAGGGGTTTTTGGGGGCCAACCAGTTTAAGTTACCACTGAATCCTCACATGATCCTATTGGCCAGGTATCATACCTCAATTTGAGAAAACAGGCTTACAGAGTTGAACCAAGGTCCAACTAACTAGTTAGCCCCTGCCTCTTTCTCTCCCAGTTCTCATTACTTCCTCGTATCCTAGAAGAGTGCTGAGAACCCCGGCCAAAGGTCACTGCAGGTCATGTCCCAGACCCTGCTGGAAGAATGAGCCACCCCAAACCAGTTATGCCTTGAGGCTGTCTCACTTGTCCCTTCAACCAGGGCCTAGGATACAGCTGATGGATACGGTCCCTTCCACCTGGCTTCCTACCTGGGATGTTGTTTTCCTTGAGGATGGCAAGGTGCTTCTCTCGGATCCGTTTGACATAATCCAGGGAGATGTGGTAGATCTTACTGCAGATGCCTTCCACGGAGTCCTTGGCCGCGGCCGAGACATGGGGGCCACACTGTTTGCGCAGATGTTCCAGGCGATCCTGGAGGAGACAGGGCTCTAGTGAGCTGGCAGGCAGGGGAGGGCTGCTGGATTGCAGCTGTCCTCATTTAGAAACAGGCTCTGCTACTTAAGAGCTGTGTCATTAGGTCTCAGAATCTTATATCTCTCACTGTTAAGGGTACATGAAATACTTACCTAGCAAAGCAGTTGGAATATTAAATATGGTCATTCCTGTTAAGGGCTTAACAAGCCCCGGGCATATAGCAAGTGTCCAATAAATGCCATAATTTAATTTTGGCGTTACACTGTGCCAGATCCCATGCTACTTGGTAGGGAAACAGACAACTGGGCATAGTCCCTGTTTACAAAGCATTTGTAGTCGATTGGGGAGAAAGAACATAAAATGGGATCCTTCCTTGATCATTGTAGACTTGAAATTTGAGCTTTTAATAACTTCCAAGAATAATTGTGGGCATTTGTAATTTTGCTGAGTCACATGTGAAAGTCAGATGAGTGAAAATGAGTCACTCTGGCTACTGAGCACACACCTACCTTTGTCAATCTCTACGTGTCAAGTACACAGTTACTATCGTGAAGTGCGAAACCTTGTCTCTTGTGAAAAATAGTCCTGAAAAGAGAGCCCATTGCTAGTGCTGATGGAGAATTAAAGAAGAGATGGGTTTGGGCCAGAAAAAAAAAATGTTTTGGACACATTAAAGTAGGGAGTTGAATTGAATCTTGTGGTAGCTCTTAAATATATGAACACACACATCCAAGAAAAGACAGTTTGTCAGTCTGTTTCCAAAAGATGTCGATTGTTCATTAAGTTGAAAAGGCAGCCACTGATGGTAGCCAAGCGCAGAATTCCATTAAGAATCTTAATGGAAATGTTCTTTGGGAGAAAGCCAGGAGCCTAGACAAACATTTCCATTCACATGAGTTTGGGGACTAATGAGTGTCAAAGGTCTGCTGAGCAGGTTGCTGTGAGGCCCTGCCCAGCCTGGGCAGGCAGAGTGGGCTTCTGGGAGGAAGCGGCCACAGAGCCTTTCCACTGACCTTACCCAGGGCCACTCACCATGTAGTCCTCCTTGGAGGCTGAGTGGTCCTTCCGCAGCCAGCTGAAGGTGTCCTCCACATTCCACTTGACCACCTTCCTGCTGTCAGGGGATGCACTCCTGCCAGGGGGCACATGGGGGACCAGCGGTTAAGTGTCTGCTCCAACCTCCTTACTCCTTTCATCCCACTTCCACCGGCATTCAGCTGTCAACTCCTGGACTTACATCACAGCCTTTCTTCTGCCTTTGGGAGCTAACCCCACTTCTGCCACCAAAAGCAGTGACAGCCCTGTTGAGTGTGAGCCAATGGCCTGCGAAACCAGCCCCCCATCACAGACCCATCCTGCTGGGGGCAGGGGAGAGCCAAACCTGGACTCGATGAGCCGCCTGGCCGCCTCTGCGTATTTAAAAAGCAGGCGCTTGGCTTCCTCCCGGAACTTGATTCGGGATAACCTAGATTAGAGAGTGGACAGAGTTAGAGCCCTTCTATACAGAACTGGGCACAAACTAAATAGCCCTGGGTCATCCTCAGCTGTGGGGCTATACCTGATGGGAATGTCATTCATGATTTCACGAAACATGGAAGGCGACACAACTGGCTCACAGTTGCTTGGCAACATGGGGTCAGAGCCTTTGTCCACGACCTTGCGTTCCAGCATCCAGCGGTTGAAAGATTCCCGAGGGGGCTCAATGCCTGCAGAACAGGAAGACTGATGATGGTCTGAATTCAGGAGGCATTGTGTGGGCATTGGAGGTGCAACAGGAAATAAGACGTGACTGTTATTATTGTCAGGGGCTTCCATTCTAAGCAACATTTGACAATCACTAGTTTTTTAAAGTATGTTAATAAGTGTTACATAAGGTAAGAAGGGGGGGATTTCTATATTTCAGCAAACTTAGGCAGATTTATTTACTAATTAAAACTACCATTTATTGCGCACTTTCCATTCCACTTACTCCTTACAGTAATCCTGTGAGGTACAGTTACTCTTTTTTATGCGCTTTTACAGATCATAAAAAGGCTCTGAACAGTGCCTGGCAAATAGTAAGCATTCTGCAAGTGTTAATAATTGTTTCTTGCTTTGTTACTGACCTCAGCCACCCTTTATGTAGGCTGTTATTACCCCTATCTTACAGATGACGGAACCCAAGTGCAGAGAGGCTAAGTGATGAGCCCCAGGTCACAGAACCAGCACTTAGTGGAACGGACTCCAACAGGTCTGTCCCCCGACAGCACATGCTCTCAGCCACTGGGCTCGAGTGCCATCCCCAAGCCCAACTGGCCAACCCCTGCTCCTGCTCAGGGTGGATGAAAACAAAGGAGGCCGTGGCCCAGGAGACAGCTACCTTCTCGCTGCTGGCACAGCTCCCGGTAGTGCTGCCGAAGCTTCAGGATGAGCTGGGAGCGGAGCAGCTCCACCTCGGGATGCGGGGGCAGCACCTCTGAAGGGCCCCGGTGCTTGATGACAGCGTTGGTCTGGATATCGAGATCCCAGTACACCCTTGGGGGGTGGAGGAGCAATGAGGAAAGTAGAGAAAAGGGAGGAAGGGCACCCTGCCCGTCACCACAACCTCAGCCCCAGGCACCAACAATGGGTGCCCCCAAGCCAATCCACAAGGACTCACTCAGTGGGTCGGAGGAGAGCTGCCTGCTGTTTATCTTCAGGGGATGTTCCCCAAATCTTCAGTGTTGGGGTTCCTGGGATGCTGGGGGAACTGGGCACCGATGGACCTGTGGGTGTCACAGGGATTTCGATCTGGAGCAAAAGAGTCAAAGACATCAAGTTAGAAGCGTTGGCCGATGGCTCCAGCGCTGTGTACACTGGGGAGCTGTGCACGGGGCTCCCCTCCTGACTAACCTGACAGGCCCAGCTGCCTACCAGGAAGCTGAGACACTCACCTTGGGCTTCTTCACACCATTGCCGCTTGGCTGCTCTTCTGAGAGCTGCCGCTTTCGGGACTTGTTCTCAGCTGGAGGGGTTTCCACCAAGCTTGAGTCTTGGGGCAGTGGGGTCGCATTCAGCCCCAAAGGGTCCGACTGGAGGAGGAGACCAGCAGAGTTGCAACCAGAGCCAGCAGCTTAGGAGTCCCAGTACTGCGGAATCCTGATGGCCCCCCACCCCCTGCTCCTACTCCTCAGAGAAGAACAGGGGGCTGGGATGCAGAACACTGGGTACTACTCCTGCCTGCTACTTGCAACTATGTGACCTTGGGAGTTACTTCCCTTCCTAATTCCCTCACCTTCAAAACGGCCACGATACCTCACCACTGAGATGATGATTAAACAAGTCAATGAATATGACCAGCTTAATGTGGCATCTGGCATGAGGTCAGCACTCAATGTGTTAGCTTTTTCCTTAAGAACCAAAATGAAAGTCAGGAATGAAGAGAAAATTCAAGAAATGCTTGTTTTTTAAAAAGCAAGGCCCTGTGGTGGAACTCCTTTGGTGACAGAATATGAAAGTGATGGTGGGCAGTGGGGCCCTGAAATCACATCAGGTACAAATCCTGCTCTGCCTCTTACTGGCTGTGAGGTCCTGAGCCAGTCTTTTCGCCTCTCTGAGCCTCAATGTCTTCATCTGCAAAATGGGAATGCCAACTGGCTTGACTGTTTCCAAGGAAAGAAAGGCTGCCCAAACTGACAGATTCAGAAGCCCGTGCTCCCACCAGACCGCCCGTGCCTCCCTTACCACAATGACATCGAAGTTCCTAGAATGCACATGCCCCCCCTTACCACTTTCCCTTAGCCAGTCTTCTCATCTTAACCACTAACTCAGAGAAGCATTCAGAAAACCCCACCCCACCCCCAGACCCAGTCAGGATCCCTGATGTACTCTAACATCCTCCTTCACAAAAGTGCCACGTCGTAATCCTAGTCCCCTCCAGTAGATCCCTGAGTTCAAAGGCAGGACCATGTCTATCTTGTTCACACTGCATCCCAAGCACAGTGCCCAACATGTCATACAAGTTCAGTATCACATACTATTCTAGCCAGCTGTTCATATGCCAGTTTCCCTATATGAGACTAGGTTCCATGAGATGGGACTGTTTTGTTATCATAGTACCCCCAGAACTAGGCACATAATAGTGTTCAGGGTACATTTGGGGAAGATCCAGATGCCAGAGGCTGCTGTGAGACCCCTACCCGAGGCTGGAACTTACAATAACGTCGTGCTGGCCCAGCACAGGCATCTCCCATAGAGACTGGTTGGTGAATCTGTTAAAGTAGTAGGGCCGGTTCTCCCTCCTGCTCCAGCACTTCTCCCAGCCCGCATGTACCAGCTCCTCTGCAAACAAGTATGGAACCCAGCCTGGGTCAGGGCTCCTCCTGGGGCGCCCTCTGACCCCGCCACCCTGCCACTGCCCCTTGCCAGTACCTGGGAGGTCCTGCACCAGGCGGATGGGCTTTGGAGAAGAGGGCTGGCTCTGATTGGAGGTGCCCGGGGAGTGACTCAGCAAGGATGCTTCCTCCCGGGGGCTGCCGTGGTTCTCATTGGCCATCTCAGCACCCACACCGGACCTGCCACACAGAGGACCAAAGGGTGTCAGGGCCATCAGGGCATGGAGGTCACTTCCACCCACCACCCAGCAACTACAAGCTAGAGGGCCCCAGTGACCACCTGCAGATGTGGAGCTCAATCCCGTCCCGTCCTGGAGGGCCAGCATGGTGCCCTAGCAGCCTGGGAATCTAGGCTGCAGTTTCCTCAACTGTAAAATGGGGCACTCCTATTGTTCCTTTCACCTGGCATATGCTTTCTCCAATTGTCTGCCTGGCTTGCCACTAGGTTCTCATCCTCCAGGAAGCCTTCCTTGACTCTTCCCTCCCCAAGCAAGGCAGTCAGAGCCCCTCCTCAGGGCTATAAACATCTACATTGTAGCACTCAGTCTGTGGTCTATGAGCTGGATTTTTCTCCCCATTAAACTGTCACAACTCCCAGGACTGGGAATTGGGTCCAGTTTAGCGTTCTCCAGAGTGCTCAGCAGGGTACCTGTCCCCAGCAGGAGGTCTATTTATTCTGAAAATATTTCCAAAGCAGCAAGTGACAAGACAGAACAGGGTCTATCTTTGAGAAGCTGCTCCCACAAGAAGGAACTGTCACTCCTCTTTCCGCTCCTATCCAGTAAAATCTAATGGGCACAAAGCACAGCCAGGAAGGGACATGACATCTAAATAGATGCCTCATTTTACACTACAGGGTGGGAAGCAGGAAGAAATCTGTTGCTAAAGACCCAGTGGAACCAAGGAATATTGAATTCAGTCCTTCATAATCTCCAGGTGAAATTTTATTTCAATAGCAGGAAGGAGGTCAGCTCCTTCAGATGTGTATTACCTACTAGCCCCACCCAAAATACACCCAACACATGTCTTGATGAACAAGTAGTTCTCAACCTGGCCATTAGACTCCTAGATGGCCAACTGTGACCAGACTGGTGATCCTAATGGTGTTTTCAATATGTCAATACCCCAAAGAAATCAAACATACCCACCAAAAGACCACAAAGGCACATTTAAACATCAGTTATCTTTGCTTGCTGAAATTTTATCAATTCACTGTGGTCACACTGATTATCTCATGCTGATCAGAAGCTCTGATTGGCTGTTGACAACATCATAGGAATCACTGGGACATTGATTTTATTGTACACTCAGTCGTAGACATCTTTTGTTAATTTGGAAAGGGAAAAGTAAATGGTTGTTTCATTGGTACAGTTTGGCAAATGAAAATGCAGGAAGCAAAAGGACATCCATACAACAAAAAGGTTTGGAATCACTGACCAAGGGGAGAAAAAGCTGTAGTTGCCTTGGTTCTCTGTGGAAGAGGGGTTCCTGGTGCCTTGGGGCTGAGCCCACAGGTCTCAAGGCTGAACGAGTTCCCTCTTTTTCTCACCCTCCAAGGTCTGCAATACTAGCATGAGAGGATTTTCTTCTCCGGCCGGATGGACCCCGAGTCACAGGGTCCCACAGAGGCAGGGAAGAGGCCTGCAGAAAGGCTCAGCACGTGGGTGGGCTGGTCAGCAGTGGAGTGAACAGGGGCCCAGGGAATTCCTTGCATCAGCAACTGCAGAGCAAATAAAAGAAAAGAGTCACAGACCTGTGAAACACTGCAGAGCAGGGACAACAACAAGATGGACAAATTGGAAGCCTCCAGGACAGGGTAGGACACACTGTGGGAGAGCTGGGGACTCAGGGAATAAAAACGGTACTTCTCAAGCTTTCCAGCCTAACAGGTTCACCCTCTTAGACATGCAGTCTATAGTCACATAGAGCTCCGTGTTGATGAGGGCCCTGGGCCTAATTTAATGTTCTACTGTCACTGTCTTAAAATTTTTAATAAATTTTTAACAAGGGGCCCACATTTTCATTTTGCACACTGGACCCTTCAAATTGTCCTGCCAACTAAAGTATCCCTAAGACAAGAGAAAAGTGAACAACCACACATATCACAGATTGAGGGCAAGTTCAAAGCCACCCACACTTCTTTGAACTAAGTCTTTAACGAACACACACACATGCAAATGAATTATGTAACAGCGTGTTCATCTTTATTGAAAACTATTTTCCCCAAGAAACACTGTGTGATACTGATGCACCAGTTACATTAACTATGCAGAGGTGGCACAGCAGCACAGCTTAATGAAGCCAAATGGGGACACTGCATTTGGCAGTGTTCCCAAAACTGGCTATGCGCAAGAACCACCAGGTGGCTTGTAAAAAAAAAAAAAAAAAAATCAGATCCCTGTCCCTCACTCCACATCTCAGGAGTCAGAAATGGGGAGGGGAGGTACACAAGAATTTGTGGGTGTGTGTTTTAAATGAACGTGAAGAGCGGGACTGAGAAATGGGATGACCAATCTTTTTGCTTTATACCATTTCAAATCTTTAGCAATTTTTTACAATTAAAAAAAATTTTTTTTTTAATTTTCCAGCTGATTTGGATGCAGCAGGTCACTTATCAAAGTACCAGTGGGGCCCGTCCGGCATGGCTCAGTAGTTGAGCATCCACCTATGAGCCAGGAGGTCACAGTTGGATGCCTGGTCAGGGCACATGCCTGGGTTTCTAGCTCCATCGTGCAGAAGGCAGCCAGCTAATCAATGATTCTCATCACTGATGTTTCTATCTCTCTATCCCTCTTCGTTCCTCTCTGACAACAATTAAAAAAAAAAATTTTTTTTTTAAAGTACCAGCTGGCGTTGGGCAGACCCACGTTCCAGAACCTTCTGCTACTTTCCGATTTATAAGCCGCACTCAACCTCAATGGTCTCTATGCCTAGAGTCTCTAGCATATTTACACTCTCAGTAAGAGACAAATATTATTATTAAGATGGCGTTTTTATTGATTCTGTAGCTCGCTGGCCGCCAGCATGCAGCAGTTTGACGGCCAAGCAGTTTCAGGATAAACTGTATCTGCGCAACCAAAGAAACCCATCGGAACGTAGAGTCCATTCCAGGATTGGAGAAAGGTGGGGCGGGACCAACTCAGTAATACACCAATCAGAATCCTCCAGCCCAGTAGGGCGGGGTCAAAGGACTTGCAAAGTGCGCAGGTGCGGGGGGGCGCGCGAAGGAGGGGCGACCCCCAGCGCGCGCACACCTTCCCCGCTCCCCCCACCCCAGCGGGGGCGGGCTGTTTGGCGCGCGCGCGCCGGCCCATCTCCCGGGCTCCGCCCCCCGCCCCGCCGCGCGCTCCCGCCCCCGGGCTGAGGCGACTCAGAGTCGGAGCCCGACACAAAGGCGGTGGCGGCGGCGGCAGCGGAGGGGCCTTAGAGGCCGCTCCGCCAGCGCTCTCCGGGCCCACCTCCCTCACCCAGGCCACCAGCCCGGCCGCCCACCCTCAGGCCTAAAATGGCGGCGGCGGCAGAGACGAAGCAAGCGGTAGCCCCGAGTGAAAAGCGTCGGAGAGGCCACCACCGTCCGGCTTCGGACTCCCGGATCCTGGCACGGCTCGCAGCGGTACCATGGCTTCCTGGCGCTCTTACCTGCCCGAAGCGGACTCGAGGGGATGCGGCTATACGTTCTGCTCGGCCGCCCGTTTTGCCGCCTCCGCCTCTCCCTCCCCAGCGCCGCTCCCGCCATCTTGTGTCCCGGGCCGGGACTCCGCGCTGCGCATGCGCTGGTACCGCCTCTGAGGGACCTCGCCGCTCCCGGCCGCCATCTTGAGTGTGGCAGGACCGTCCGGGTCCTCAAACCCGCTTCTTTTCGGCCCCCTCCTCTACCTCCCGTGTTTCCCTGCTCTTCCATGCGGGTCTGAGGAGGGGGAGGCAGCTTTGCGGGCCCTGGGGTGTGGCTAGAGGAAGCGACGGACTCACAGGCACGCTCCCTGCCTCAGTTTCCCAGGCGGGTACGTCCGCTGGGCGGAAGGACCCGGGTGGACGGCGCGCCGGCGGGAGCGGATTGAGTGTGCGCACCAGGGGGCGCGGGCGGGTTGGAAACCCACGGAGGCGCCGGCCCGAGGGCGGAGTCCTGGTGACGTAGGCTGTGAACGCGACGGGGACCGGGGTCCTAGCCCAGGGGCTGCTCTGCCACTTCCGCCTGTCGCTTGCCCTCTCTGGGCCTCTGTTTCCATATCCAGTTGGCATGCACATTGAACCTCCCATAATGAGGCTGCACAGCTTATAAGTGCCCTTGAGTAGAAGAACAGCTGTGGGAGACAGTAAAGATGGCTTTGCTGGTTGCAGCTGGCTAATTCTATATAAAAGTATTTGACACTGTAGCCCGGCCGGTGTGGCTCAGTGGTTGAGCGTCTACCGTCTACCCACGAATCAGGAGGTTCATGGGTTCCCGGTCAGAGCACATGCCCGGGTTGCGCTTGATCCCGGTAGGGGGCGTGCAGGAGGCAGCTGATTGATGTTTCTCATCGATATTTCTATTCTCCCTCCCTCTCTGAAATCAAAACATTTTTATCTTACACTGTAAAATAATGGCTTTGGACAAAGTTGAGAAATTGTCTACTAAATGCATCTGAGGGGCATGCCAACACTGACGTCTATGGCCACTAGTTGCTTTGCTTTGCAAATCCTCACTGAGACCTCAAACCAGCTACAGAAGGTGGGCCATCAGGAGACTAGCGGATACTAGGTCCGGCCCTCAAACCTGCCCCCGAGGAATTCTTTGGTATAAAGGCCCGCAGGCTCACTGGCTCCACCTTCTGGTCTCAAGTGAGCCGACGGCCGTGGAAGACAAAACGGCCGCCTGCTATTGTACTTGAGCTTCCCAAGTGGAGCCAGAGGCTGCAGACACCCACCTGGGCAGCCTTTCTGGTGTCCATAGTGTCTGGCCCCAGGCAGCTCGGTGAGGCTGGGAGTGTCAAAACTGGAGGCAGTAGTAGGAATAGTAAATAAGAGCTAGGGTTCTCGCCCTAGCCAGTTTGGCTCAGTGGGTAGAGTGGCAGCCTGCGGACTGAAGGGTTCCGGTTTAATTCCGGTCAGGGTACGAACTGGGGTTGCGGGCTCTATCCCCAGTAGGGGGCGTGCAGGAGGTAGCCGATCAGTGATGCACATCATTGATGTTTCTCTTCCTCTCTAAAATCAATAAAAACGATATTTAATAAATAGCCCAAGGCGGGGTGGCTCAGTTTGGAGCATTGCCCCATACAGCAGTGTGGAGGTTCCATTCGGTCAGGGCACATACCTGGGTTGCAGGAGACAGTCGATTGATGTTCCACTCATGTTGATGTTTCTCCCTCCTTCCTCTCTCTCTAAAAATTAAATGTTTTTTCAAGAATAGTATATACACAGCCCTAGCTGGTGTTGCTCAGTTGGTTGGAGCCTTGACCTGTACACAGAAAGGTCATGGGTTCGATGCCCAGTCAGGGCATGTATCTAGATTGCTGGTTCGGTCCCCAGTTAGGACGCCTGGGGGAGTAAACCAATCGATGTTTCTCCTCTCTAAATCAATAAACATGTCAAAAAAAGAAAAAGAATAGCACACATACACAAGTGTGCACAAGACAGAAATGTAAAACAATGTATTTGTCACAAAGTGAACACCTGGGTAAACATTCAAGTTATTGTTAAGCAGAATCCCCCAATGGGGCAGTCTCCCCACTATTTCCGTGATAATCACTTCCTTGTGTTTACAGGTTTGTCACCTAAGCAAGCACCCTAAACACGAATTTTGTCTGTTTCTTCAACTTGATATGAGTGGAATTATACAGGCCTATTTTGTGCCTTCTTTTGCTCAACATTGCATTTGCAAGACCCATCCATGTTGTTGCATGTAGCTATGATTAGTTCATTTTCATTGCTGTATTCTGTCTTCCACTGTACATCTACTCTACTATTGGGGGTATTTGAAGCTTTCTACCTCATATCTGTCTTCTGAATTATTATAGTAGTCTCCCAACTGGTCTTCTGTTCCTCCAACCTTGCTTCTTTCCTAGTGCATAATCCACCCAGCAGTCACAGGGCTCTTGTTAAGTTTGATCATATTGTAAATCTGAGGAGATCACCCTGGGCTTAAAACCTTTGAGTGTCTCATCAATGACGGCGGGATTGTCCCAAACTTGGCTCACAAGGTCACAATTATAATGAGATACCATGGCAGTGCGTTTGTGATGGGCTGTGCCAAGCACTTCACATACAGTCATGTTATTCACGACCTAGACCTTCAAGCCATCTCCTTCATCCAGTCCCAGCCATCTTGAACTATCTCAGTGTACCAGGTTGTCTCTTGACCCTAGGCCTTTGCGTGTGCTCTTACTCTCCTCGGTCTCAATCAGCCTTCGAGTCTTAGCTTACATGTCACCTCCACCAGGCAGCCTTCCCTGAACTTAACCTCCACCAAGGCTAGGGCAGGTCCCCTCTTCTGTATATCCACATCGACCTATGCTCTGTGTCTGTTCCTTTTTTTTTTTTTTTTTTTTTTAAGAGAGAGAAGGAGGGAGACAGACAGAAACATTGTGAGAGAGTAATATTCATCGGTCGCCTGCAGTATATGCCCCAACCGGGTATGTGCCCTAACTTGAAATTTAACCCGAGACCCTTCGGTGCATGGGACGATACTCCAAC